TCTGCCAAGGATTTCAGCTGGAGGAGGAATGAGGCCCTTCATTTCAGTTAGAGCAAAACAACACAAACAGCATCACAAATTACCAGCTGGGACATATGCAAGTAGGGAAGTCTGATTTCTTATCTACTTCCTCAGAATACAGTGAAATATTGAGGCTTTCTCTTTCTACCTGTCTTTGTTGCATTAAATTTTGAAAGCCCATAATCTCTAAAACCACTGGTAAAAAGCTGCTCTCCCTTTTGGACTTGTGGATCAGAGCTGAAAGCTTATGCCAGTCTTCCATCTGACTGGAAAGAAAAGGCACTTCCCAGGAAAGCCATACATCCCGCATCCTGTAGTGAAAGACATCAAGGAAGCTGCTCTAGCAATATCTCTGAGCTGCTTGTGCAGGTGACTTAGCACTTCTGAAATGGGACGTGGGTTTCCAAAATGTCTACTGTGTAGAGAAAGGGTTAGGGGGGAAAAATAGAAGACCCAAAACAATATATTTGGCAAACACATTGCAGAAACTGCTAGTACATGCTGTAGTCCCAGACCCAGTGGGCTGTGCTTACCTCATTTGTTTCACGTAGGTGAACCTAGCCAGGATGTTTTCTTTAGTCGTGGGCAGTGTGACAAGAATGGGACATCCAAATAAGGTCACTCAGGATGTGTTTAACAACACCGGGTAAAGTCTGTGGCAAAGGCTCATGCACACACATACACACAGAGCATCCACTGTACATATCGTTGACTTAGTGCGTCATGATTCCTAGAATAACTTCTGGAGAGGCACTCCACCCTTGCATTTCCAACACTGAAGATGTGATTGTCCCAGAGCCAGTTATTACAGTGATTTTAAGGAAGAGGAGGCAGAGGGAAGGGCCCCTGATTTCTCTGACCTCTTTGAAGAGATGCAATGCAAAGAAAATTGCTAAAAGCAGTGGTAGCTTCAAATCTGTCAGCCCAAACTGCCTTGTGATCTTTGAAACAGCAGCGAGCAAGCGGCTTCCTGAGGCCACCCCAGAAAATCAGATAGCAGAGAGTTCTGCAAAAGGACAAGCCACACACCTGTTTAAATATAAGTCAATATGCTTTATTAAGCAACATTGCTACGGGTGCTCCTATGTGATGAAAGGTAGCCCAGCACTGTGAGGGAACGTGCATTTTTACTCGTAGGAGAATCCTGGAAGGCAACACCATTATAATAACTAGGAAACTAACTTTTTTAACCTGCAAATTTCTGATGGTGTGCAAAGCACTTTCAAGGGGTATGCAAAAGGTAACTGAGGGCAAATCACTTGTAGTAACTTAAATTTGTTGTAAAAACCTTGCCTGCCCATTGTAGGTCCTCTGCAGTTGACTGAAGTGATAAGAAATAAAAGAAAGGAGTTACTTTGCTAGCAGCTGGACAAGGGATGACACACAGTTGCTGAGATCAGGGGTTTACAGATTCAAAATAGCAAGTTTTGATCAAAAAATGACCTAAAGCTGAAACTCACAGCAGTCAAAATGAGGGAAAGTCAGAGCCCAGGCTGCTCCCATGACCCTAACTCAATTCCTTCTGTGTACAGTTTTGAGTATAATTAGCAGTTAAATGATCATACTGAAATAAATTGCAAAACTTTCTCCTGAACATTTACCCATTCCACACAATAAGTTACTATGTCCATTTACAGCTATTCAGTGGTTTGTGTCCCGTTTGCTCTGTGTCCTGGGCTAACACTCCTACCAGTGAGGCACAAGCATTGCAGGCATTACAGTTGAGGCACCTGGCCCAGTCGAGCACCCAGACTAACCAGCGTAGCCAGACCTGTGCTGCCTCTGAAGCAAGGAGCAAGGAGGCATCACAAGGAGGGCTGGGATGAAGACATGGCAGAGAGAGGGAGGGGAGGAAGACACACTAAGGGGCATAGCATCCATTATTTTATCAAATAAATTTCAGCCTGCAAGCGGGGGTCTGTCTTATCCATCTTTCCTTTTCAACCTTGCTCTGAAGTGAGAATTTCCTCACTTTACCTCTGCAGTTCTTGACATCCACCATGGATGGTACCTCCAGGCTGTCTCCCAGCTGCCTTTGCAGGATGCTTCCAAGGAAAGCCCTGCACCACTGTGGCACCTGACACATGCTGTGTAGCATCCCTGCAATGGGAAATGTAAAACGTGGCAGTGTGGCCATCCTGACCACAGAACCATCTACATTCAGTCCTAAGGCAGAGGTCAGCCCTGTCCTTTCCCACCAGCATGCCTCCAGCTCACATGTGCTCACACTGCTGTTTTCACAGCACCCACTTTCCTCCTAGCTGCTTAAAAGTGCAGGCTCCTCCAGAGCAGAGATTAACCTATTCCCATGTTTGAATAAAACTTAGCACAAGCTGAATTATTTGTTTGGACTAAAGTCATGGTTAAAGAAGAACAGTAGTTCTGAGTTTGCTGACATGTTTTTGGCCTTCAAATTCAGTTCAATTTTTTTCCCCCTCTAAAATAAGCAAAAGCTATAAGACCCTGCAGCTAATTCTTTACTGACAACTGAGAAAAAATTGTCTCGATTGGTCAAACATCTCAGAACAATAGAGATCTAAAAAAGCAATATCAACATATGTGGTAAAAGTTGCAGGAATACTGTCACTACTGATGCAACAGTATGACAACCCAAGAGAAGATTGTCATCTCTTCTATTAGACTAACAGACACAGCTGAACGTGTGAGCAAGATTTCATATACCTGGTTACTTCATCAACAGATGAATAGGTAGGACAAGGTAAGTGGCATATCAAGAGAAGGAATAAATGGATCAGCCTGAAATTAAAAAAAAAGAATGAACTGCTAAAAAAACCTCACATGCAGTGGGCATTTATGAGTTTAAAACAAAACAAAAGTCTGTGAAAACACAAAACTTGCATTACCATCCTCACAAGCAGTGACTTAAATAAATTCATTTTAGCCCAGCAGCTTAAAGAAAATTCAGCAAAGTCTGGAGTTTTGCTGACCCTATGGGAAACCTTTGAAAATGTGAAACATTTTAAGCATGTGAAAGCAGTCTTTGCTTCTTCGATATATAAAAAAATGAAACAGCTGCTCACAATGGGCATGTGTTAAAATGGGGTTTGAATACATGTTTCAAACACCTGAGAACTGTTTCTCTGCAGCTAAGACACCAGAGAGAGATCAGACCAGTGCATAAGGGAAAGCACAAAAAATTTCATTATGAACTTGAAATATCAAACTAGAAAAAGTGCATTCACAAAAGAATCCCAAACCTACACTATCCTGTAAGTGCCTCTCACAGAAACTTTTGCAACTGTTTCTGAGGTATACAGCTCCACATTTCCACATTTCCATGGTATACTAATGAAAAGGAACAAAGGAAAAACAATACAAACAAACAACAAGAACAAAACTTAAACATTTGTTTTTAATACCAGAGTGAAAATTATGGGTGGATAATTTAAATGATAAACAGATACATCGCTTTAAAAAAGATAAGAAAAAATAACCCTCCCTTCCTTCCAAGCTATCTTTTAAATTAAAACACCTCAGAGTTATAACCAGTAAAACATCTATAGCCTACATTGCCTCTCAGTGAAGGCAGCTTTGTCAGCCTACTCAGTTTAAGATATGACCCTTATATACTTTGGCTAAAAGCTGCTGCCCTTTACACAGGTGTATGTACACTGATGCAAGTCTCTAAATTTATGCAGATGTGACAGAAGAATTTGGCAGAGTTTTGCTAATTTTAAGCATTTTTTTTTTTAAATCAGATTAGCTTTTGCAGTTGGTTACAGTTGTATCAATCCATAATATATTTGGTGTTGATGGCACTGCTCCACGGCTTGTTGATGAAACTAAGAATTTTGCATACTGTGTCCAACTAGAGATGCAGTTGAACCTGAGACTGCTACAATTAAACTCCTCAGGTTTCCTAAAAAAAAAAAAATCAAAAAATGCTACTCTTTTCAGTTTTGTATTAATTCTTGAAAGAAACCTTAACATGGTCTAGCTTTATAACCTGTTATTCCTATCATCGTTTTACTCGTATACACAGGTCCCATTGGTACAGCATTTTCATACAATAAATGGAACCATATTTTTTTAAATCAGAAAATTTGTTTGTAAAGCCACAGAACATTGGCAGGACAACTGAAAAGCAGGTATTTTATCTTGGAACAGTTTCTAACATTGCTCTCCATTTATTACTTTTCAGCTTGGTTATGTCCCTTTGTAGTTCTTCCAAGCTTGCTTGCTGTACCTGAAGTTGTAAAATGTGCCAATGTGAGTGATCTCAGGTTTGATTCGGATCCTAGATCTACTGGCCATGGTAACCTGTATGACTCTGTAAAAGACTGCCAGCCAGATGTGCAATGCAGGAACAAACATGTAATTTTAAAGTTTTATAGGTATTTTTTAGCTGTTTGACCAACTTTAAACTATTTAGGTGACTCAAAATGAAACAGGAGAAATAAAAGGGACACCTTGTTTCAACTGGGTTGTGCTCATATCAAGTTTCCTTTTCTTAAATAGAGTGACACAAATACTAGCCCAACAGACTCACTGTTGAACTTATGCCATAATGAAGGGGCAATCAGGCCCAGGACAACCTAATATCAGCTTTTGATACTTTTGCAAAATCATTGAGCAGTATTTGATATTTCCACTAAATCAGAATGTATTTTGGAAAGTGAGAGGGGAGGAGGTGGGAATCTGAATAAACATATCTGAGAAAAAAAGATAACTCAGGTCTGAAGGGTCATTCCCTTCAGTAAACACAAAGTGCAGTGGTTGCTCTTCCTGGATCTAACAGTAGGGGCGTGGGAAGCTTTCAGATGTCACAGGGTTGTAGATAACATTTGAACATATGATTAGCTTTCGTGAGCTGTCTTTAGAAACCTTACATTTTTCCCCCCCGCACCTTAGCCAGAGATCCTTCCCTTGAGGTTTCAGGACACTTAAAATGTTGCTTTGACAAAAATCAAGGATGTGGAGAAGTTTTTCCTGTGTGATGTCACTTTGCTGCCCTTTATAAGCCTCTGCAGAAAAGAAGGGAACCTATCTGAGGATTCACACTCCAGACAGAGGCAACCAAGGGAAAGCAAGAAGCAAAGAGACGTGTCAAGTTGCAGATACCGACCACCCGCTGGGAAGGGCGAGCCATGTCGCAGACCCGTCCCTACAGCTGCCTGGGCTACACGCTGCTGGTACTCTGTAGCCTGAAGGCTACCCTTGCCTTTCCCAACTCCTCTCCACTGCTGAATCCCAGCTGGGGGAACGGAGACCACCTGATGCACCTCTACACAGATACAGAGAGGAACAGCTTCCATCTCCAAATCAACGCTGATGGCTATGTTGATGGTGTTCCTCACCAAACCATTTACAGTAAGTAATTTCCTATGGACCCTCAGTCTGCATGGGAGCAGGGGAGGGAGAACAAAGCTTTTACTTTCTCACTACCTGTACAAAATCTCCTCCTCTTGTTAGGCAGGCAGACAGAGAAGTATAACTGTGGGATGGAAAATATACGTAATTATAATCCTTTTGTTTATCAAATAAACAAAATTACTCCAGAGAAATCAAGTAGACGGGGAATTTCATTCCTCACCTAAGAGAAATAAAGTTCTGTGGTTCCTGTGATATTCTGCAAGCAAAAACTACTCGAATTTTCCTTCACTTTATGATTTTAACTACAGCTTCCTGTGGAAGTTCCTATTAGAGGTTGGTAATGACATCCCCCACACAGCTACTTCCCATTGCAGTGACAGTATTGTCAAAGGAACTGCACTGAGGGAACTCACCATAGCAGTAGTGGAAAACTGACAGCATCCATAAAATCCCTATTTTGGGGTAGAGATCTGATAACTACTAAAACGAGGTCATTTTTTTCCCAGTACATCAATATATCTCTGCATTGGAAGTTGGTTTGTGAGACAACCTTCAGATTTGTGTCTTTAATGTAGGCGCATGGCAGAAACTCAACTATGCATAGAGCGTGGGTAAATGAGCATCCAACAGGTGATGAAACAGTGGGAAACTACAACAGGCCAGGCTGCTGTAAAAGAAGTGCTAAGCCTCTGGAGTGACCATTCCCTACTGTAACTACAAAGCTCTCAGATTGTCTCATCATAGTTTATTTTTGTTGAAAACTAAGGTATTCTTCTTCCTTTGCTGAATACCTGGTCCAAACACCCTAGTTAGTAGAAAAATTGAGGGGTTTTTAAGACTTTAAGACTTTTTAAAGACTTCTTTCATAACATTTCAATAGTACTTCTCTTTTAGTAGCACTCACATCACAAGTAGCTAGGGATCATGATGTTATGTTTATTGTTACTGCTGCATAGCATCTTCTTCATCCACTCAGTTAAAAATGTAAGCATATGGAATGATTTTTTTACATAAACATGTAAGGTGCAAAGAATGTTTTTAAAAGTTATAAATTAATCAAGGAGAAAAAAGGATCAAGTTCGGCTTTTTTTTTTAGGAATTACTAACGAAACATTTTCAGGGATACTTGCACTCTCTTGCTATTATTCTTCCTGCACATTTAAAGGTTTTATAAAACTCATTTTAGGTATGTTGGTCAAGAACCTGTGTGATGTTTTAGAAAACAACAGCCAGCAAAATACCATGTTTCACCCATAACTGCTCCAAACTGCTCCTGGAGCACTTAGGGCAACCCCAGTTCAAGGTGGATGTGGAGAAACTGGAGCTGGTCTGGAAGAGGGTTTTCAGGATGGCCAGGGGCCTTGAGTACAACCTATCGGAAAAGGTTGAGGGAGCTGGGCTTGTTTAGTATAGCAAAAAGGAGGTTAAGGACAATCTAATACCGTAGGGCAGTCACAAAGATGAGGAAGACAAACTCCCCTTGGTAGTGGCTGATGACAGAACTAAGGTTAATGGCCCCGGACTGTGGTTTGGGACCTCAGAGGGGATGTTAGAAAAAAAAACCAATACGTTGTCTTTGAGAGGTTAGTGCAGCACTGGAACAGGGCATCCAGAGAGGTGATGGTATCTCCACCCTGGGAGCTTTCCAAGGCTCAGACAAAGTGAGGGCTAACCTGATCTAGGGTGAGCAATAGTACCAGTTCACATAGGAGGTTGGTTCGGACCCCCAGGGGAAACTTCCAGCCAGATCATCTGTGGATCTGTAGGGCAACAGTGCAGTGTCGAACCGGGTCCTGGATTTGACATTGTTGTTTTTCTAAACAGGTGCCCTAATGATCAAGTCTGAGGGTGCTGGCTCAGTAATAATCACAGGTGTGAAGAGCGGACGCTACCTGTGTATGGACATGAAAGGAAACATTTTTGGTTCGGTGAGTAAGCTTTACTAAGACTCAAGAGTGAAAAGAAAATGCAGTCTGCTAATCTGGTGCCTGTTTCCTCAGCTTGGCAAATCTGTACAGCTACAATAGGAGGATGCAGATTTAAGCAAGCCGAGGACCTGTCACTTAGGTTAAACTTTCCTCTCTTCTTTGATTGCATTGAGTTGTAGAGTTGACAAAAATCCTGCTTCAGTAAAGGAGGGTAAAACGAGATCCAGTGATGGACCAATCTGAATTCCTGCCGTAGCCTAGAGCCATGGATTGGGAGTAACTCAAATGATGCAGCCCTCTGAAAGAAAGCAATGTTATCATTATAATACCTTTGCTGAAAACATGGGCATGCATCTCAGATCTACATTTGACTAAGCCTGAGTTGTCTGAGCTACAGAGCTGGCAGATCTGAAAAACACCTGCTGCAAGATCTCATCCCTCTTTCCACCTTTAATCAGCACTTGTCATTCACCAAGTTCTTCTGCTCACAAGTGTCATTTTTTTTCCCCTAAGCATTACTTCAGTCAAGAAGACTGCACGTTCAACCACAGGACACTGGAAAATGGATATGATGTGTACCAATCTCCCAAACACAACTTCCTGGTTAGCTTAGGCAGAGTTAAACAAGCTTTCTTCCCTGGTATGAATCCACCACCATACTCCCAGTTTTTGTCCAGGAGAAACGAAATCCCTTTGTTTCGATTCAACACACCGGAGCCCCACAGAAATACTAGAAGTGCAGAAATCGATCCAATGGATCCTCACCAGATCCTGGTCCCACAGAGGAAGATCTCTGTGTTGGGATCTCAGTTTCAGCGGCAAGCAGACTTTTCCCACCTGCCCAGAGAACCCGTGAGAATCAACCAGAACGACGTGGTCAACCCAGATGACCCACATGCTATGATGGATGCCAGGAGGTACGCGAGTCCTCGCTTTTACATTACAAGATAACTGGGGCCCTGCCACTTGCAAATTGAAGACATGGGCAAATATAAAAGGCAAAAAGAACGGTCTAGCACGCTCAGTCTGAATGTCAAAATAGCTATCAGAAACCTGAAAGACATGGGGAAAAAATCCTTAATCTCAAATTTTGTACTTAGAGGTGACAGTTTACTAAAAAAACAAGTTGGAGATTTTCCAGTTGCGTCTCTGTTTAACTGGAAACAAGACACATTTTTTAAAATATTAATACAAATCAATTGTTTTAGGGTCTGAATCACCTTAAGTATGCACCAGTGGAAAAAATAATTCACTTGAATGAAACGAGAAACCAATGTTACATTACTGATGTAACTGGGAAGAGACCTGAAGCATCTGAGATTCCAACAGACAGGGAATCCTTTTACTAGCACCATCCCTGGCTGCGCAAGCACAGCAGACAAACCAACTGATGGTGTGTATATGCTTATATAAAAATTACTATATATGGGGGCTTTTAGCTGTTAAGTTGGAGCTTCAGTCTCTTTTCATGTCCATACAAGTCAAAAAGTGACCACACTGCTGTCATAGGAGCAGCACACATGGAAAACTGGAGTAACTGACAGGAGAACAGGACACAATCAAATGGTCTTGTGTAGAAAGTGCCATTTCTGACACTTACCAAATCCTAGCCAAGGTACAGAAAAAAAGCAGATAGTTTCACTGTCTCTCAAGTGCTTCTCTATCATACTTCTGTATTCACCAAATTCTAGCGTCACAATATGGAAATATAACGTAGAGACATTCCTTAGTTTTGCATATTTCCAGCCAGAGGGAAGTACCAGGATTACTAATAACCAATAGTGTGTTAAACAGGATGGCTGGTTTTGCACACTGCTGAACAACACAGGGAAAAAGAAAATCCAAAACGTTATGCCTTATAGACGTCAAACTATCAACAGCTCAAGAAGACGCTCATCTAATGAGTGAAAATTCGGTTTGTATTTAGAAAAGGAGAATCTAAGTTTAGCTCCATGTTTCTATTTAGCTCTGAGCAGGTATCAGATGTGCTATACTTAGAAGGTTGAAATTACTTTAATATTAATCAGATCTCTAATGCTGACAAAACCTTTTCCCTAAATTGTTTTATGTTATGGGGAAGGTTACTTATCAGAATCTAACCTCCATATATACATCTGAAGTTTACAAATCTTTAGTTAAGATGTAATATCTGCAGAGCAGAGCTTTTTATTGTAATTTAGGTGTCAAATTGTTAGCTGGTAGAATTCAGGAGAGCTTGATTGGTTTTGATGGAGCTATATTAATTTCCACAAGGCCTCTGAAAATTGTGTATATAGCTACTTTTCTCCCTTATTTCTTTTTGTTTTGATTTGATCTTCCTGAACGCTTAAATCTGTGTGGTTTTGAAAAAGTTATTCTTGATCTACACTGCAGAAATCAAAAGCAAGGTACTGATGAGCTGCAGAAAAATCCGCTGTGGCAGATATTTGAGAGGAGTTTTTTATTTTGGTTTGTGTGCATTTTCTGCACGTCAAAATGCAGATTCCTCTGGTTTGCTTATTTAGTGTATTTAACAGCCTGACAACAGTCTGAAAATGGTACATTTGTCCCAGGTGTGCTCATAGCAATAATGCAAATTACATTAGGCTAGATTCTGGTCCATTTCTTTCATTCTTGTGAAGTAATTCACTGAAGCCACCAGAGTTACTGCTGTGTAAAAAAATCAAAATAAGGTTTCCTGTGTTTCTTGCTTTCATTGAAATTGTTCTGGATTTAGCACAGGGTCTATCCTACTGACAGCTTTTAAAATAATTATTTTCCCTATATATGTATATACACACGATATGTCTTTATCTATAACATCCAAGAAGTTACATTAGAATAGTCATAGGGCCTGATTCCACTGTTAGAATAGTTTTCCTACATGGAGTGATTCCTAATTCATATAAATTCTTAGAAGCACAGGACAAGCCAAATGATTAGGATTAGACCGAGAGTTTTGTGTCATAATTTATTGTTTTTCATCCTCTAAACTCATCATCTTTTTGATTAGTTTCAAAAGGAAAGGAGTGATTGTAATGGATTTAGAAGAATTGTAAGGTGGGCAGATAGTTGTGTGTTTTCTTGCTTATTCAAAATACAGCAAGGCTTCTTACCTTGCTGTCTATAGAGTGGAGATGTGTGATTTTATTTATGTGTTTGAGTTTAATCATTTTACTTGATTCCTATACTGCTCTTCTTGGCTTCTGCTCCTTGAGAGCTCTGGACTACAATTACACAAGCAAAGTTCTCATTTTGTGCAAACTGTTGTAAGCTCCACAGAGCTCTCCAGAACTGCAAGTCAATAGACCTACAACAATTTGAATAATGAGAAGTTTTGTCTCAATCCATACCAAATTTTGATGAGAAATGTTGGCGGGGTAAATTCTCTATATGATCTCTATATTCATCCAGTAGAACAAAGTAAGAAGGGTTGCTCACTCCACCAATAGTCACGGGATTTAGTCTCTAAGCTAAGAGTGAATGCACAGTGGATTTTGCATCAAAAAAACCCAAGCTGTAACTATAGAGAACTGTACTGAAACATCAGAAGAATTCATTCTTCAAAGGAGATGCTGGCCATCACCAGCTAGTAAGAAAGCATTACTTATTTATATTGCAATATTTATTTATTTATTTGTGTGGGTCTTAAGTCCCATGGAATATTTATACATATTTATAACAATGTATTATAGAGAGTGTTTCCTTTTATAAAACTACCAATAAAGTTTTCCTTTTCTCCAAAGGGTGGATTTTGCATTGTCTGTTCAAGCCCCCTATTCTCAAAGGACTTGATTAAATAAATGTTACTAGCTGAGTCTGAAAATTCGTGTATTCCAGTGTCCCCTGTGATTGTCAGCTTCATAGATTGCAGCCTGATGGGTATTTCATGCACCACAGCCATCAAAGTTCTGTGAAAGATGATGTGAAAAACCAAGCCTTAGTAGGACTAAACTGACCATGAAAAGATTGTCACCTCTACTCGGAAACTCTTTCTGCAAACTAAAAGCAATGGAAAACACTGGTCCAGCAGTTCAGTGCTGCTAGGAAATTTTTGTGATCGTGGCTCCAAAGTATTATGGTAACAGATACTTGGTAAATTACCATTACTGCTCACTTATTCCTGCTCATACAAAATATTCAAACTCCATTCCTAGGGCCATGCTCAGGGTCACAGACTGAATAAATTGCAGGTATCATCCTCATAGTTCTCTCCTGTAATGGTCCTCAGAGAGCTGCAAAATAGCAAGTGCCCATGGGTCTGACAGATTATCTCCTTGCAATGCTTCCTCTCACCACAGATACTCTATGGAGCTCTGCCATAGTCAGTAGCATTATTTGCATCTGCTATGGTGCCAGTACCAAGAGAAGCATCATATTATCACCAGGTTCCACAGTTCAGTTGCACTTGGTGGGCAAGAGGACAGTGGTCTTCAGTGGCACAGTGGTCAGGTAGATGGGGAACTCTCTTCTCCAAGACTCCTTTCTCCTCCCATTGCTAAAGTTTAGGTCCATG